CACACACAGGGTCGTCCCAATATGCGTTTTTGCAATTTGCATATAGGCAAAAACGCATAAAAATGGAAAAAAGATTTAAGCGAGACTGAAACAAGTTGTTAACTGCAAGGATAGTGTTTTTAATAGTTATTCGCATTTTTACACAAAAAATTATTTGCAGGGAAAAGTCTTCCTGCGAATTTCCCTCCACTCTTGCTCCTTGTTTCATTATCGCATCGCCTCCGTTTTTTATCAAATAACTCAGGATCCAAGAGAGTGTGCACCTCGAGTTTGAACTTTCCCCTCGGCGCTTGCTTCTTGGTACTTTGATTTAGAGTACTTAAGAACAAATTTTTCTTTTTGACGGAGGTTAACATTCAATTTGACATTTTTAAGCTGAAATTACGCCTTTCATCCGGTTCCAGAACTAATGCAACTGCAAGAACAGTGAATGTAACGAAAATAATAACAGTAGCAATAATGGTGCATGAGTAAATAAAAACAGTAATAATAAAAAACAGCAATTACAATTATTATTTCAATTGTAATGTCTAAAAGTGAAAAAAAAGTAAAATTTGAGTGGTACTGAATTGAGTTAATACCCCTTCAAAGGAATGCTTCAGTCTCTTGGAGGAGGACGAAATGCTGCAAGCACTCTAACCCAATCCTTGACTGATTTCTAGCATCAGGTAATAATAGTTCTGTCTTTAGTAGGGTAGCTAGAGTAAACAGTGTTCATCACAAGAAAAAAACCAAGTTAGTAAACATGTTTTTCCGCAGCGTGTTCCACGGAAGTTTCAGTTTTTCACTGGTGCATAGATTAAGAGTTGGAATGTGATTGTATATCTTATAACAGACTGCTTAATCAGGTGCGGGAAAAATGGCTCTCGTTATGTAAACAGCAATCCACGCCAGTACTTCCGAGATCGCTTGGATTGCTCCCACGATTTGAGAACTACTGAGATATTCCTCTTTTGCCTCACACCTCAGTAAGACATTTCAAATTTGTATTGCAGATTGGCTTCAGATACGGACGTGAAAGTGTACACATTCGATCATTTCGGGAAAGAGTTCATCAAGCGACACGGTATCAGCCCAGACAGCTTCATTCAGATTGGCCTCCAAATTGCCTACTACCGAATCTACGGCAAGCATGCGTGTACCTACGAGACGGCCACACTGCGTAAATTCAGTGGAGGACGCACGGAAACCATCCGGTTACCAAACTTCCACTCGGCCATGTTCACTGTCGACGTTACGGATCCGGAAAGCGCAGAGGAGATCCCAGCATCCATGATGGCATCTATGTTTCGTGTAGCCGCTTCGCAACATAAGAAATATTCGCTTGAGGTAAACTAGTTTTGTTGATCGATCATTTGATCATTTAATCGGTCATTTGAGTGCTAAAATCATCCGGCGGTCAATAGCGGATTCCCCTCTTCTTTTGCATGGGGAAAACCGAGAATAGTAGCATGGGAGATGTTTTATCAGTTTGGGACATGGTTCCACACAGGAAGAGTTTCAGGTTTTACGCAACCTGTGACATATGCAGAGGGAGGTAACTAAGATTCTGATGTGAAGCGCACCGTCATAATTTTAATTTTTGGCATGTTGTCCAGTTGTAGAAATAACTTTATTAATACTCGATTAATGATTGGATGCAAAGAATGAGTTGATAAGCTAAGAATGAATTGCACAAAATCAATCGAAATGGAGCAGAAGCTGCGGAGCCAGGACGAGGGATTTCTTCAAAGGAGCTTAAAATTAACAAAAAAATAATATGGAATTTAGGAGAAAGGCTGTAAAATTAGTCCAAGAGTGAAAGATTGCACCTTTAACAGGTATTAAATTGTGAAAAATGCCGTACCCTGTCGAACTAAAGGGAAGGAGAAATTGTCGTTCTGGATAGGATACCTCAAAATGAGAGCGGCTAGTCTTGTCATTCTGCTAATCTCGGGGAGCAAAAATTATGCAAGCAGGATTGATTCTATGTCTCTTCATTCCTCTGATTTCGTGGTTCTCAACTTTC